ATGTTTGTACATTTACGAAGATTATAACGTTGTGATATGATTCTGACATGATTTCTATCATGCCTTATGTTATAATGTTGATATCTCACCTTTTAAGTTGTATGTTACCTCCGTTGGTGGAATTTGCAGGTAACTCGAAATAAAGTGTCGTTTCCGTTTAAGGTGCCGTCGGTCGCTCTGATACGTAGCACTCTTGGGGGGATGAACGATTAATTCTATTGTTTTTAGTTGATTTTCGTGTTGCTGATTTTATGGTCGAAACTAGTTGTTTTCGTGAACTTATGCAAGATTATTACTTGCTGAATTTTAGTGGAGTTCAGATGTAAAACATTCTTTGCCTTGTCTTGGCTTACTATGAGTTGTTTGAAAGCTTATTACATTCCGCTGCAAAATGACAGGTTGTCTTACAATTAAAATGCTAAGTTGAGAATTGTTGTCGGTTCATCCAAACTTGTGCTATGTATGTTAGTAGATGAATTTAGCAGTTGTATGGTTGTCCTTTAAGTTGAAAATGTGACATCTCTAGTTGATGCATTCTGATTTACTTAATTATCCGTTTGGGTAGAAAAGGGGTGTTACAAAGTGCACGTCCGTGAGCTCCATGACTAGATAGCAACACATGCCATAAAGCTTCCCCTTACCAAATAGGACAGAGGCTTAGGGAGAAAGTGTTCTAGGCCGACCATAAGGTCCAATGAAGCAAAGTCCAATGGAAAAATAAATGGTTATCAAAGGAAGGGTACGCAACCCCATTTTCCTTCCACATTTCATAATAGCTCTCACGAAATTACCGTGCTAATCTCTCTGAATTAATCCAACGGTTAGTCCCATCCCACATACATGCAATTGCAACCATTTATCCTATTGAAGGGAAAACACGTTATTATCCAAGTATAATTCATTCCCATTCAAATTTCATTTTTGGACTATTACTAACTTGAGCGGAGTGCTAACTTTGACGGTCAACCCCCAGTCCAATGCATCGAAAGTCTTGAACCATCATAACCCATAGTGAATTCAACCTCTTCGATTTTCACATGGTTCTAGAGCAGAACAAAACACCACACACACACGCACACACACACGCACGCACACACGCACACGCACACACGCACGCACACACACACACACGCACACGCACACGCGCGCACACACACAAACACACACACACACACACACACACACACACATGTACGCACGCACGCACACACGCACACACGCGCGCGCACACACGCACACACACACAAATTCCGATGGGCCCGTTAAACTTTAGTTTTGTTAAAAAAGTTTACAATAAATATAAAAAAAACATTAAATAAAAAATTGATTTAAATAATTGATTTTATTTTAGATATTTTATCTTTTTGCTATAATTTTGTTAGAATATCAATATTTCAAAAAGTTACTTGAATTCAAAGCTAGTTCAAATAGCTTTTCATAAATCGTTTTTTTTTTGAGATACATCTCTTTGAAAAAATTATAATTTTAACTATGTTTTAATTTTTAATAATGTATATTTATGTTATAGAATATCAAAATTAGTCTTTTAATTCATAAAAATCAAATTTAAAAACTTTTAATATTTTAAAAAACGTTTTTATTAAGATCATTTTTAAAAAGATGATTTAAAAAAGTTCTAAGAAAAATTTCTACAAATTCAAATTATATACCTAATTAAATCTAAATATTTAATTCAAATAAAAGTATTACTTATTTTCCAATTTTGAATTTAAAAAATCAAGTGTAAGAAATATACTTTTACAACTATCAATTTTGATCAATTAATATTCTCGTTTAACTTTGCAAATAACCTAAAACATATTCAAAGTTTTAAATTTTCATTTTTGAAAAAATCTTGTGAAACGTGTATCACACAATTAAATATAATATTCTAATATTCCTAATATATAATTATAAATAAAATTAGTCAAAAAAATTATAAATTAAACCTTTTGCAGTCAAACTGATAATATAGTATGTTTTTATAGTCAATAACAAAACTAAATTGTTCAATGGACTGATTTATTACATTCAAACTTGAACCAATAATTCCAAAACTGCAAAACAAAAAAAAAATATTGATTATTGAAATCAAATAGTCAAATATAATATCTCAAGTTTCACATCATTTCCTCTCGTTCAACCAAAACATATGCAACAGCATAGAGAGAATTAAGAATGTGTTCAAGGCATGAAAATATATCTATCTTAACATAAAATTTTTACATCTGTATAGTATAGTATAGTATGCTATTATTCGTCGGTGAAAGTAACGTTCATAATTGACATTTTTATATTTTTTGCTAAAGTAAATTTAGTTAATATTATATAAATTTTTTATTAATATAATTTATAATTAAAAAATAATTCAAATCCTAATTAATTAAATGTAAAATATTGAATAACATAATTTATATTTGACATTGAATATCCTGAGATTAAAAAATAAAATTTTACATAATAAATTATTTTTAATTAATAATGTGTAAAATATTGATTAACACACTATATAATTTAATTGATGAGTTCGTAAACATAAAAAATAGTTTTAAGTAACAATAGAATATAAAGATTGGTTAGTATGTATATAAAAGATTGGTTAGTATGTATATAAAAGATTGTCTTACATAGTAATATTTTAAAATATTTTTATTATAAATAATAATGTTTTTAAATTTTATGAGCATACGCTTATTATATTATAAAGATATAAATATTTGTATCATATTTTGTGTCTATATAATTAGGGATAATTAGAAGGGTGGGGTACTATAGTAATTGTTTTTATATATGCTGTTTTTTTAAAAAAATCTTGAACTTGTGAATATTAACATTTGAACCGTGTGGATACCAAAGTATCCATATCTATATTTATTTTGCTGTATATATAATGAGAAATCATTAATCAATTATAATGTATTATGTTATTTTAAAATTTTAATAATAACTTTAAAACAAAATTAAAGATATTATTATTGAATTAAAAAAATAAACAAATATTTTATTATAATGATAAAGATAAAAATATATAAATATATATTGAGATGAAATAAATATTAAAATATTCGTAATCGCAACAATATTCTTTTCATTTAATGGATAATTATTCGTGTATATTCTCATATTTATTTAAAACCGATAATTATTGAAATGAAATTTGAGGTTTAAATTTGTCTATTAATTATTATATTTTTATATATTTACGTTGTACTTTTGAAGTTATATATTTTATTTAAAAATTAATTAGAATATTAAAAATAATATTTTGAATATGTAATTTCAATTATAAAAATGTTAAATACTTATTTTTCATTATTAATAAATAACTAATTTTAAAATATCAAATAAAATTATATATATATATATATATATATATATATATATATATATATATATATATATATATATATATATATATATATATATATATATATATATATATATATATATATATATATATATATATATATATATATATATATATATATATATATATATATATATATGTGTGTGTCTCTCTGTAAAATTGTGCTCTATCAAATTTATTAAATAATAGATATTTTTAATTTATATTCAAAATCAAATACATTAATTATTTAATAAATTTAAAAAACATTTATTCATATTTGAACATTATGCTGCCTTGTCCATTACTATTAGAGAATTGATCGTTAATTTTTAAGACAATAATAGTTAATTTTTTTCTAAAAAAAAATAAAAAGTTAAAAAATGATCACGTTATCACATGGATTATTCAGCTAAAAAATCACATGTGTGTCCGAAAATCAGAATCAGAATCAGCATCAATATCGGCATCGCTATCTCCAAAACCATAGTTGTTGTTCTTCTGTCGCTTCTTCCTTTCTTTTTGTTCACTCTTTTTTAGCGAAAGAAAAACTTTGACTTTTCAGATTTCATCAATTCTTCTCTCTTTCTCAGTCAAAATTGATTCCTCTAGCTCAAACACAATCGCGCGCGCCATACAGGTTTGCTATCAGTTCTCTATTATTGTTTTTTCTGAATTTCTTGTTTAGATTCGAATCGTTGTTTTGCTTCATAGTTGTATGTAAAATGCTTCGATTATGTGAAGTATGAATGATTCTGTGGCGTTTGATTTGACTCTGACACGTTTTGATTACTCTACCTTATTGTAGAATATTTAGATTTAAATCAGGAACTTAATATCACTTTTGTGTATTTTGGTGGTGGAGAGATTGAACTGATTAAAACTCAGGGTTTGATTAACTCTGTTTGTTAAGGTTTTAAATAACGGGCGATCACCTAAAGGTTTTTGTGATTTCGGTCCCTACTGGTGTTGCGATACTGATTGTGGTCGTCCGATGTCGGCACCTTTTGATACCGTCTTGTCGTGACAGTTTTTTCTAAAACCTGAGGCAGGCAAGATTTTAGGGGAAGTTAAGTGTCTATGCGACTGGAATCGGTGTCCGACATCATAATTTTGGGTGTTGTGAAAGTTTCACATTGAATGATATAGTTATATTTATGGCTCTGATTATATAAGAATTATAGAAGGTCTTCATGATTAGCTATTGAAGAAAAACATAGGTTTCTGTCTAGCAGTTGTTTTAGGGGAAATTGCACTAGTCTCTCACTCTCTCCTATTTATGTAACAAGTGAAACATTTCACCGCGAAGCCTTAATGTTTGTTTGTAACAATGTAAGCGGAGTTCTTTACACAAGTTATGTCTGTAACCACTACAGTAGCACTCACATCCCTCTCCTTTAAGTTCTTTGCATGAGTTTTTCTCTTGTTTTCAAGTTCTGCTGAATTATGTTGATGGTTTCTCGGCCAGATGTTCGTTGATTAGTATCCTATGTTCATATAAGTATGTTACCAATGATAAGGAACCGATCCCAAATCAATTTTCCCTTTCTTTAATTCTGTAAATATTTAGAAGAGAAGTGATTACATAGGTAACTTGGTATTGACTTTTGCAGTACTTATTGTTGACTTTTGGAGAATCTCTACACTGACCAACATGAGTGTAGATCTGAAGAAAACTGCCACTAATGGCCATGAGAAAATATTAATACCACAAGAACAGCAGGGAAAGGTATGTATCCTACTTGTCAATATGACATACTCACATTGTTTTGACACTTAGCATCAAATATTATAAAACTGTTATGTTATGAGCTACAAAGCACAGACACCGGAAACACGGCACCGACATTGACACGTTGACATTTGTAAATTTGGAAAAATAAGACACGGACACCGGAAACACGGCACCGACATTGACACGTTGACATTTGTAAATTTGGAAAAATAAGACACGGACACTGACACACCGTTTTTCAGAGGTGTCGGTGCTATAGAGGTTATGAGAAAAGGAACATTTTAACTCACAATATGTTAGTACCACGAATGAGAATTTGAGGCTGATTAAACAATTGGTCAAGCCATTGTTAGTCACACCATTTTCTCACCGTCACTAATTTGCTACGTCACATTCTTCTCCTCTCCTTTCAATATTTTGATAATATAACTCTCCATCTAATGGGGTTGTCCATCTGATTAGCCTGAGTCCAAATTCTCACTTGAGGTCGTAACACTGTGTTTGTTTCCTTCTAGATCAACGAGATGAGAAAGCTAATAGGGCCGCTGTCTGGTAAGGCATTGGTTTATTGTTCTGATGCATCCATCGCCAGGTATTTAAGGGCTCGGAATTGGAATGTCAAGAAGGCAGCTAAAATGTTGAAGACGACCCTTAAATGGAGAGAAGAATATAAACCAGAAGAGATCCGCTGGGTGAGCGGCTGCCTGCCTTTCTTCAAATTTTTAATGATTTTTGAGACTTAATGTTTGTTTCCTACCAGCAACTGAATACTATATTGATCTGAAAACTTCACTATCTGATTTCGTTTGACCAAGTTAATTACAGACTCATCAGGAATGGTTGTTATCTATATATGTCCGGTAAAACTATCTCTTTTCTTAAATGATTTTGATTTATATGTTTTTGTTGATGCAGGAAGATGTTGCTCAAGAAGCAGAGACTGGAAAGATCTACAGATCAAATTATATCGACAAGCATGGGAGAACCGTACTTGTAATGAGACCCGCTCGGCAGGTATCTTCTAAAAGTCTTTTCCTCGCTCTCTAGCATGTCTTAGTCAGATGTATTTCTACAATTGTAAATTCTAGAAAGCGCTCTTTAACTTCATGCTTTGACGTTGGTATCAAATTTAGTAGTTTATTTGCGCATAAATGCAGAACTCAAAGTCAACAAAAGGACAGATTAAGTATTTGGTGTACTGCATGGAGAATGCGATTCTAAATCTTCAACAAGACCAGGAACAGATGGTTTGGCTGATTGATTTCCAGGGTTTCAATATGTCACATATATCTATCAAAGTGACACGCGAAACTGCTCATGTCTTACAAGAACATTATCCTGAAAGGCTCGGTCTGGCAATACTGTACAATCCACCAAAAATCTTCGAGCCATTCTTCACGGTAACCATGTTTTTCCATTCTGTCATTTGACATCTCAATATCTTCTTTCTGCTGTTTTTTATATAAACACGCGACTTTGGTTTTTTTGCAGATGGTAAAGCCGATATTGGAGACTAAGACCTATAACAAAGTCAAGTTTGGTTACTCTGATGATCAGAACACGAAGAAGATTATGGAGGATTTGTTTGATATGGACCATCTTGAATCCGCATTCGGTGGGAATGATACTACACCATTCGACATAAATAAATACGCTGAGAGAATGAAGGAGGATGATAAGAAGATTCCGTCATTCTGGACAAGGGAAACCTCTCCATCCTCGGTTCCAATTGAGGTTCCTTCTTTAGTTTCCGTTAAACTAGACACTGATTCTGATGCTTCTGACAATGAGAAAATAGTTCGTTCTTCTGACTCGGTTGCGGACACCGGCTTAGTCAACCCTGATCAAAACTTGATGAATCAAGAGGACCTGAATGCGAGTGCTGCTGTGCATTAGAATGAGAAATTACACAACTCAGTGTCGAAGTTTAGATATAGGCACTGAGGTTATACAATGCTGGGACGTTATTTTGTTGCTTGAAATTTAGATTCAAGAGACTTTTTGCTTGAAATTTAATATTCTAACCTTTTTAAATAGGCATGGAATACTTACTTTTGACAATATACATCTGTATTCTGCCATATCCTCATGGACGGAAATATTGTTATTGCTAGTTATTTATTTAGACCATGCAAGTCATAAAGTGTGAATACTAGTTGTCAAGTGCTTAACTTGACACTCCCTCACTTCTACCTCGCACCTCCTATTTTGATTATATCCTTTTATAAAAATCGAATCTTTTAAAATTTATTTGTTTTTACCGAAAATTTACAGTACTTATCAGAACTTTTTTATTTTTCTATTTTTTATTAGAACATTTGAAATTTCCAATAAAAAAATGAAAATTTTCAAATTTTTGATATACTTCTATAAATTTTAATATTTTAGTGATATACTCCTATAAATTTTGATATTTTAGGTACAGTATCGGAAATTTTAAAATATTTGATAATGTTAAATTTTTTTTTATTAAATATGAACTATCGAAAATTTTATTTTAATTGAAATTTTTGATATAAAATAGAATATTAAAAATTTTCAATAATATTTTTAAGTTTATTTAAATTTTCAAAAATTCAAGTATATCGGAAATTTTAAATACACTATTGAAAATCTAGTGTGTACTAAAAATGCTAATATTCTATTAGAAATTTGGTACACAAATATATTTCAAATTTTTTTGAGATAGTTTTGCAATTATGAAACTATGGAGGTGTCATGTTCATATTGGAGTGACAAATTAAATGTTCCAAATTGTCTAGTATCAAAGTTAAGATCAATGTTGTCAATTAAAGTTGGGCCAAATGTCTGACTCGCCTCGTTTAACTCAAATTGTCAGAGTTGATCCCTATGTAATTATTAATGAGTTGTAATTAGGAATGTAAATGCATTTTTAAGGGGGCGAAAAATATATATTTGTTCTGTTGATTAAATATGATATTCATATCTATTTTATATATGTGTCGATATTCATTAAACGGGTAATCTGTAAGGTTTAAGATATCCACATATATTTATAGATAATATTTAAAAAATTGAAAAAAAAAATATTTTTCAGACACAAAGTCATTATCACATGAACATCTATACAATTTTCTCTCAATTTAACAACAAAATTTTATCACATTAATTGAACTCACCTGATCAGAAAGGACCAATGATTTGCCACGCGTCGTTGAATTGTAGTTTTCACCAGAGTTATGGAGAAAGATGGGGGTGTACCTGTAAGCCACTCTGATGCTTAAGTGAGTAAAAGATCAGAGTGAGAGAGCAAGTACAAAGATATAGGTGTAGAGAATAAGATACCCGACCCTCTAGTGAAAGAGAATATTTATAGAGAGACTCCAGTGCGGGGCCAACAGTTACATCGCATTGGGCCAGACTACCAGGCCCAACCCAAGTAATTGACAGGACTTACGTGGCGTAGTGAAGACTAGCACGTGGTTTTCGCCCTAGATCAACTGTCCTGTGATCTTCAGAAGGTGGGCTGACCAACTCTTTCGGAGGTGAGTAGTTTCCTGATGACGTGTTCCCACGTGGGGGAGCACGTGGATAACGTGGGGGAAACGTGTGAGTCTCCCCGTCAAAGGAGTCGTCTGCCCGACATATATGCCTTGTTGAGGCTCGTGCCCGACATGGGAGGAATGAGCCTTATTGGGCCTCCCCAACGCAGTGTTGGGTTGGGCCTGCCCGACTGAGGGGCAGGTCCCGGCCCAATCCAGAACAGGATCCCCCTAAGTCGTTGCTCTGAGGTGGAGGAGTGATGACTTAAGGATAAACCCATGTCAAGGATAGATAGGGAAGGCGACCCTATGCCCAGAAGATGGAGTCGAGAGCCGTACTCGTCGGAATATCATGTAGGGGAGGCGAAAGATGACCGAGGCGCTAGCTTTCTGAGCTCGAGGGAAAACGAAGGGGCACGGTCAGTCAAGGTTGCCACATGTCAGGTGCCCATTGTCCATCCTAGGGCGGCTAGTTATATGGTGCTTGAGTGCCTAGGGGCGTTTCGAGTTTCGTGCTTGGCTTATAAATAGGTTGGGGCCTGCACCTTCATCACTTTTCGCTCCCAATTCTAATGAACAGACTCTCTCTTGCTCCTCCACCGTCTACGTTGCCGTCCAATCGCTGTCGTCGTACCGTCCGTCGCGAAGTTTGTCGTACCTCTACTCAAACTACTATATCAAGTAAGTTCATTCTTCCTTTTCTTCTGTTTCTTTATTTTCCGGCAACTTCTGCGACGGACACGACGAGTGGCCCGAGGAGGCTGCGGGTTTTCCGGAGATTACGGCGGGATTCCCTTGACTAAGGGCGGGCCTAGGATGAAGCTCCCAGGGACGTATAGTAGTTCCAAATAGATTCCCCGGGGCCAGATGATAGGGTTTGGATGAGTACCTCGGGGATAGATGATGGTGTTGGATGAGTACCCCGGGGACAGATGATAGGGTTTGGATGAACACCCCAGGGACAAATGATAGGTCTAGATGAATGTCCTAGGGACGTATGCTAGTGCTGGATGAATTCCCTGGGGATACAGATGGTAGGGCTGGATGAGTACCCCAAGGACATACGATAATAAATAACGTGGGGAAGAGGATGTCGAGGTTGGAGGAGCCTAGGTCGTAGATATCATCCCCTTCGCCCTTTCACTTGAGTTGTGGTGGAAGGGTGAATTTGATCTTGAAACATCGAATTCACCATTTTCTATGCTTTTCAGGTGAACATGCGTGGATACCTGGAGTTATAGAAGTCGACCAAGAACCAGAGTATTCGGCAGCCCCGCCCGTCGAGGGGCAGAACCGGGCGGTTGAAGACTGGGTTGGGGAGGAGCCATTGAGTACACCTTCTCATTTTGTCGAGGATGATTCCGACGCATTAGCCACGGTCGAGGATCGTCATGAGGATTCCTCTGCGAGTTGGCAAGTGTATAGACCGCGAGCCTACCATCGGATCTGCTCGAGCTACGGGAAGATGCAATTTCCCATGTATGAATTTTGCTTTCGCGAAGCGGGACTCTGGTTGCCCTTCTCAGACTTTCAAATGGGGGTTTTCGACTGGTTGAGGTTGGCACCTTTGTAGTTGCACCCTGTTGCACCCCAAATTTTGACCCCTAGATCCTCCTCATCATTGTAGGATCATGTTCATTTGATTAACTAACCTTAATCCATTTTCAGTTTATCTTTGTTAAGACGCGGATGAATTAGGGCTCCGTACCGTCAAAATCGAGATTTCGGCGGTCTGATCAATCAACGTTTTGGATTGATTCAACTTCAAATAAGTCTCCACAAGATCAAATATAATACATTGGATCAAGAATTATTGCAATTTGAGGTGGTCACCCGGGGATTGAGAGCAGTGCAATTTAAAGTACCCGATTAGGGTTTTCGACGAGAAAAAGTCAACTGTAGTTTGACTTTTGGTCTAAAGAGTGTTTCAATGGTGGGATTTTGGTCCATTAAGTTCCTATGATTTATTAAAGTCCATTCAAAGAGTTTCAAGTCCTCAGGATGTCCGGATCATCAACGGGCGACTCGGTAGGCACCGATCGATCGAACGGTTGACCGAAAAGTCAACTTTTCAACAATAAGGAATTTGACTTCAAGGTGTGAATAAAAAATGTTACTTATGTCATATTACACCTCCCCATAAAATTTCATGACCATTGGATCAAGGGTTAAGAAGTAATTGTAAAAATCAGGAATTAGGGTTTCAAAAGGGGCAAGATCATAACTCCTCAACCACACATCCAAATGAAATGGTTCAAAGCTCATTGGAAAGCTCTTGACAAATCCTACAAAATCCTCAAATTGGTCCATGATCAAAAAATGCATAGAATTGGAGTTATAGCAAAATTCATTTTTGAAGGGGAAATAACTTAGAAAAATTCTAAGTTATTTGGCACTTTTAAGTGGTTTTTTCAGAAACTTTGAAGGGTTTTTCAACCTAATTCCATTAAGAATTTAGAAATTCCCAAAACATGAAAGTTATAGAGCTACTTGAGGGCTTTCCAAATTATGGTAGAACTCCTCAATAGCATGATTGAGCAGGAAGTTATGCACCATAGAAGTTGGGTCTGTCACACTTGAAATCACTTTGTCAAGAATTCTCAAATTTGGATTTTCACAACTTAAGCTACTGTCCACCCTTGGATCTTGATCCAAACTGATAATGTGAGGTATGGATGGAGAGAAAACCAGAAAAAAGGATGGTTTTGGTGAACATATCAAGTTGTTGCAACTTGACAATATATTAATAGAATGTAAGAAGGAGAGAGAAACTTTTAAGGCTAGGACTGTTGCAGCTGGCTTACTCTACCATCACAGATCATCTCAGTCATTTCATGTCCATATCCACTTGAGATTTCTGATCTCCTTTGAACAATGGAGCTGATAGGAGAAGATCTTGCAAGATTTATTTGAAAATCTCATGAAAACTTCCTCCAAAAGTGGTAAATGACCAAGGCTGCCCTCACTCTTGTTTGGCTATAAATAGAGGCCTCTTCTATGAGTTCAAACACACCAGAGCAATCTCAAAAAACTAGAAAAAACATAGCTCTCATTCTCCTCTCATTCCTCAAGCATTTCAAAAACTTCAAAATCTCCATTTTCACCAAAAAGCTGTCTTGAGCAAAACTCTGCTCAAGACCAGTTCCATCATTTCTAAACCTCTATAAATCACCCAAACAATCCCTAAATATAGTATAGAAGGTGTCTATACCTTTAAACCTCCCAAAAAAACCATTTTGCAAAAAGTCGACTTTCACACCAAGAAAGTTTGACCACCACACTCAAAACTTGCCAAATCCTTGCATAGGTTGTTTCTTGTTGTTCTAACCATCCACACACCTCACATATGTCATATTACAACTGTCCAAAGCATTTAAAATCAACTGGAAATCA